ATTACAAGTCTTTTGTAAATATCTTTTAAATGTTTTCCAATAAGTAAAGCATTGTTAATAATGCATAAGCAATATTTTCTAAAACAAATTCAAAACAATTTTTAAAATTATACTTCTGCAACATTTAGACCTAGAATTCTTTCAATGTGTATTTTTTATATCACATTTACTATTATATTATTTAGAGTTTTGAAATTTTATTATGATCTTTAAATGACCTTTATAATAAAGTATAATGAATCTAAATTTTCATAAAATATATATATATATATATATATATATATATATATAGATACATATTTTAGAAAAAAAAATTATGATAATTTTTCTATTACGTCTTGCTTACTAACATATAATCTTTAACAGTACTGTTGTAAATTTTTAAATATCTTTATTTATCTTGTTTCTATGCCTCAAATTTCAAAAAAATTGCTTGAGTCTTTTAAGGAAAAATCAAGCACCTACATCTTGTAGATTTGATTAGAGATGTTTCTATGATTTTAAAATTTTATATTTATATCCTATTTTTTAATTAGGTGTTAATATATCTTGTTTTTTAAAATACATATTTGAAAATACCTAATAAAAAAATAAAAAAATAAAATCTATAGAATCTATCTAATCGAGTTGGATTCAAATACCTTCTGTTTTCTTCTTTTATCAAAATCTAATAATGTTTTTAGTCATAATAAAATCCTCGTATTTAGATTAAAATTTTTTATAGCCCCTTTTGTTTACTTTGTCTCTAGTTACAATTCTTTCGCAATATGATGATTTATTATCTATTAGTTTATTGGGTTCTAATTTTTGTCCAAAATTCTGAGACAAACTTCTCGGTAATTAATTTGCCAAATTAATTTGAAATTGGCACATTTCTTGATGCTCATTGGATATATAAATAATAACTACGTCTACACATTTATATGAAATACTTTTTGAGTTCAGTAAAAATAAATAAATTCTATTACTTTTGAATGTTCCTATATTGTCTACAAAATGTTTAACATGGAATGCAATACATGCTGACAAGATTATTATATCAATTAGAAAATCATTATCAGAATATCTCATGTTTGTAGCTTTTAGTATTACCACCTTAATATTATTAAAACAAAATATCATTAGATTATTTACTCTTGATGTACATCTTGCCTAATTAGTTCAGTAACAAATTAGTGTGAGTAGCACTCAATACTATACTAAAATTACAAACAGACATCTAACTTTCTCAAAAATATTAAATATAGTTCTTTTAATAGATCTTATAAAATTTTAAAAACATGAGGACATTTGTTTTCTTAAGTTCCCTTGCAAAAGCCACTTAGAACCATATCTTACATATCAAATTAGAATTTAACACATGGATGTAAAATTAACCATGTTATTATAAGATAATAGACTTTTGATTAATTTAAATCCTTGAAAAATTTCTATGATAAAAATGTAGAATATATAAACTTAATGTACTGAGGTACTATCTAATCACTTTTCTTAATATAAGTTTTTTAAACATTGAAATATTATTAATTAATACAATTTATAAGCAATTACTTAATATCTGTAATTATCAAGGTCATGAAAAAAAAATTATATATATATATATAATGATTTTTTAAAAATAAAAGAAATAATATTAAAATCTGAATTTATGTTAGTGATGCTTGTGCACCAAATACATTAATTACGCAATTATTTTAATGACATTATGCACCAGGTTTATGTGAATAATATGTTGCAATATAGACATAGAAACTTACAAAATATGGTAATTAAATTTTGCTTAATATAACATATGTCATAACTTTGTTCAAATAATTGAACGTACTTAATATAAAATACATGCATGCATGCATACATACATACATACATACATACACATACTCACATTTAAAAAATTCTTAGTGTAATAATTATTTTTTTCATTTTAAAAATCAATTTGTGTTATAATAGTGACATGCACCCACAAACACACCCATCCAACCATCCATCTATCCATATATATATATATATATATGTTTGTATGTACAATACACACTATCCATATATGTATATATGTATGTACAAAACACACATCAATTCAAGAATATGGTAGAAAGTTACAACAATCCCTACACTCACACCAAAAACAAAAGCTCCCAACAAGCCCTTTCCAGAAGCACTTTGTGGGCATCATCTCCCACAACACCCCCCCCCCCTCCCCAAAACAAACGCATGATGTGGCCTAACCCCACACATCATGCAGGTCAGATTCCACCCGGAAAATGCCCACCCATCAATGCTGATGGGGCAGAAGGGAGTGCCATCAAAAAGCCTGCAAGAGACTAGAAAGGGGGTGAGAAATTGAAAAGGGGAATGGTAGTATGGGCATGATGAAATAGGGCAGTGTACTGAAAAATCCAATCCATGTGAATGGGGGAGCTGTGCATTATTGTGGGCCATGCTCAATGATCGTCACCAGCTTCCTTCCCCCTCCCCCGTCGGGACACGTCCACCCTTGTGCACTGTTGATGGGAAGGGGCCCTAGTCCTCCTCGTCCACAATCTGTGGTGAACGCGCGAGGGCTACGAGCGTCGCAAGCGTGCTCTCATTGTATGTATCTATCCCTTCATTGTTCATGGGATTTTAAACGAGGAAGAGCGTGTTGTAATAGAAATAGGAACCACAGAGTTTGGAAAATGTGATGTAGTTGTAAGCAAATGGTGAAGCCCACCAAGAAGATCACAAAAGTGTTTGAAGAAGCGTTTGGAACTGTTTCAGTCAACCTCTGAAGTAAATTCAAAACAAGGTGTTCATTCCACATGAATTCATTGACCCAATATGTGTTTTGTTGTTGTTGTTTGTAGCCTCCATATGGTAGTTTAATATTTGGTAGGAATGGGTATTCAAAAGTTTGTTTTGAGGGTATGTGTCAGTTGTAGGACCCAGTGAGTGGCCAAGTTGAAGGATATTGTTTTGATTGTAATGAATTGTAAATAAGATTGAATATTTTCAAGTTTAAAACATGAGCCAATGATAGGCTTTTTGGGGCAGTATATATATATATATATATATATATGTAATTTATTCATACATACATACATACATACATACAGATTCTTTTTGTGTTGTTTGACATTTGAATCAAATTATTGGAATGTGTAGATATGTGATGGCATTACAGTCATTTTTTTATTTTTTTTTATTTATTTGATTGTACTGCATAATGATGAGGATGTTGTCCGATTCTGGTGTTATGACAGAATTCTCAGTGAGATGATTGTTATTGAATTATTATTTCACAACAGAAAAAATAAAATAAAATAAAATAAGGCAAAAAGAAAATATTGAGTTTGAGCTTTGCAGAATCTTTGAAAGAATGTCCAGCTTAGTATTACCAGAATTTCTTTGTTGTCACTGCCACGTTATCATCATGAGTTAAAAATAAAATAAAATAAACAAACAAACAAACAAACAAACAAACAAACAAATAGATAAAGAAGACAGAAGAAAAGATAAAACCAAAACAAATAGTGAATATTTAGGTGTATATTTTATTCCTTTTATCATTCTTATATAACTTCCACTTTACTCATTCTTGTTAGGATAAAAGTACATTCCGATGTTGGTGTGTGAAACCCTACCTCTTCACACTTGATAGCAATTGAAAAACATATATTGGAATTAATTGCAGAACTTGATTGTTTTAGAAGAATTAAGAGACACGTTCTACTTTAAATTTAAAAAGAAAAAAAGAAAAGAAGATTTATAAATGATAAAAAAGAGCTAATAAAATTATTCAATATACCAAAACCAAACAATGAATTGTGCCCTGCAAAAACAATATTCTAATTAACATACTACTTTTAAGATTTTATTTATTTTATTTTATTCATTTCTTTAATCACTTTAACAGTTTAAAACCTTTATAGAACACACCAAAGTTCTATAAACACAAAAGAGAAATGAGATTAATGTGAGTTTTTACTTTGTCTACATGGAAGTTGACCACCCCAAATTGAAGAAATTCCTATTGACATGGTTTGGTAATAATGGAATTCAAAACTTGGGGATTCTAAAAACACAGAATGGCATCAAAAACAGACTGGAAGGTTCTGTGTTGGAATTCTTATGTGATCTGTGACCTCATTGAGACGTAGCAAACAACATGGTATTTATTACTTGCAAGATGCACCATTATTCTTCCCATTCATTATATATATATATATATATATATATATATATACACACACACACACACACACAAAACGACATACAGACATACATTACACAAAAGATAGAAGTTACATGATTTTTGTTTTGATTTCATCACTGTAGGCAAAATCGCAATTATATATACTTTTTCATTTACAAGAAAACTCTAATCCTTGCATTCAAAATAAACAGAACGATATATATTATCAAAAGCCAGCAATGGACGAGAGAATGACTGCTGAGGAAATCCACGTCGCCCAGTAGGATTCCAACCCAAACAACACGACCCCAGTAGTTCAAATTAGGATTATATACAAAATTATGGATCCTAATGTTGGAAACAAAGAAGTAGGTAACAAATCATCCACTCACTACATCCCCTCAAACCCACTTCAAAGAACTATCATCTTGCCCTCCATCTGAAACATTACATGGGCTAATAAATAAATAAATAAATAAAAACAGTTGCCAGTAGCCACTGCATAGTGTGAGCTGCTTCCTTCTACCCATCGGGCTTGTGCACAGCTCCAATGGCATGCACACAAACGTGGCCACGAAGACAGAATGCCGCACTAATGGTGGTGGATTTGCAATACCAGTCGTCCTAATGTGTATTTCGGAACACAAGAGCGAGGTTAATGGATTCACTAATCTGTGGAGCCTGCTCAGCGATACCACCCAGCTGCGTCTGTGTGGTTCTAGAAGTTTTCCGAAGGAATCGAGACCACAGGCTGGGCGTGCGCATGATAACTGCCGCTGCAGCAGCCGAGGATCGAGGGGGAGCGCCGCAGCTCGTCCAGTTCATGACATCATGCACTGGATGTCAACGGGGGGAGAATCCAACATGGGGTCTCACGAACCAGGGTAGAAGAACCGAGGAACGATCGAGGTTTGGTCAACTCCTGCTCTCGCTTCTGGATTGTTTCCAGCACAAGATCTCAATTATGATCAGGTTTCTGTTTATGAGCTCCCGTCGCTGAAAGTGAGAATCGTGTATCGTAACGAGGTTGGCATTGTCAGCGCGCACGTGATATGCGTTTTGCGGGTGGGTGGCGTCGTATCGTGTTCGGCACCAGGTTTTCTCGGAAATCGTATTGTGTTGGATGTGCGACAGGATCTTCAGTGACAACGAGATCGTCTAATTTATGATTGAAAGGTTGACCAGATGAGAGCGAACGCATCGCCGATTTAGACAATTCCACATCCCGGTAATTGTGGTACAGGTTTCCGTGCCGATTGCAATGCAGCACCTGTTGATTACGGCTCGCTACGTGGCGACATTTTGTCGACGTGACCTTGTTGAGTCTCTCGTCTCCAGTTTTAGTGCTGCCCCTGTGGCAGCTCAACCGAATTGCACCGACACCGAAGGAACCGTTCGTTGGTGTTGCATTAGATATGCAGGAGCGAGGGCCAAGAAGAGGTGAATCCGAGCTCTGCAGTTAGCGCTGGGCTAGTACACTGAGGAGGAGGTGGTTCAATACGACAGGCTAATATATATTTATATTTATATTTGTAAATAAACACACACCGTACATGAAGTTCTTTGCGAATGTCGCATTCGCGATAGCTTGCGGAATCCGAATCGTTCTGTGTTAGTGGTAACTAATAATAAAGTATCCAGTGATTGCGTTAAGCTCCACTAGAACATTGCCTATGAGGAGGGTGTCGCAATCTGGAGACGCAGGCTCTAGGGAGCAGGCTTACAAAATTTAAGAAAGAGAGAGCTACTGTAAATTTATATGTACTACACCTGGGGTCAGAAAAGACATCGACACGAGTTTCTTCGCTGGTTGAGTGGTGTGTTGGAGGTCAGTCGCTGAGCTTCAGAGGGCGTGTGGCGCTGATTGAGGACGTCGAACTGTCTCTTGCTTGCTCCTGCTTTTGTATGTACTGGTTTAGCAGACATACATCATTTGGTGTCGGTGGGAGTTTTAAGGTTGTAGTTCTCTATATGAATGCCAATTTCAGTGGCTTCAGAGTGGGAATTTTCATGGAATGCGCTCTCCACTTGGTCCTCTCGGGATATGACCGCGCATGTCCAAAAAGTCTAATACTTAGTGCGAGCCGGACGTAAGTCATCTTCTCATCTTATTGCTGCCTTGCAGAGTTAGAATTTGGTTACTACCACTCCTGTGCTCGTCGCAGTGGAATAGCACCGCCTGAATCTAGTCCAATTCTGGTTGGGCATTTCCGACGGGCGTCGTTGAAGGAAATGCTATTGGTGCGTAGAATTAGCACCCTACTGAGTAAAACAGTTATTTCCACGTGACACTTTTGGCACAATCTCCATGTCGCAGTTTACACCTTTGTCCTCGGAGGAGCTGTAGCAGCCTCCCAAAAGTGCCACGTTTTTTGTTTGTTTTTGTTTTTGTTTTTTTGTTTTTGTTTTTTTTTTTTTATTTATTTCTTTTCTTTTCTTTTCTAGATCATCAGATATGGTATCCGACATTTCTTCTGTCTCTTCGAACTTAAACCTTCGTGCTGAAGACACGAATGAACTTCTACATCAGTTGGCTGATTGCAGTCCACAAGCTGGAACAGGAGCTATTAAGCCAGCGTGATCTTCGATTCTGTCAGTGCCCAGTATGACTTCTTGTGCGGCTCATTTATGTGCTGATGCATTTCTTATTTCAAACCATTGCAACCAATTTAGGTCTTTCTGGTTCAATTGAACGAGGTACCGTTCAGTTAGTTTGGGTTTAGAAAAGATTGTTCTTATCTAGACGCTTCACTTTCTTCGACGTGGCTCTGGTTTCTCCAATGCGTAGCCAGTACAAGCCAGTTTTAGACCGCGGCACAATGTTCAGTGAACTTGGACTGAGAGTGCTCGTTTCGATGCAGCTTCGTAGAGGTGACGACTGGATTCGTTGTCTCGTGTGCAGGATAACCTTATCTGTGATCACCGAGGTTTCAAGACTCTGGCAAGCATGGCTGTGGACAATTTAACTCCAACCAACGCGCCTCCTCCGCAGGCGCAGGTTCTTGCGTTTGCTAAATTCCGTCGCCCTTTGTATCGATTAAGGCTTCATTTAGAAGCATCCACGGCCAAATTTACCTAGTTTTAATCCTCTACTTGGTGATTCGTGATGGCCCGAATAGCTGGATAGACTGTGTGACCGCGGCTGCTCCATTGGGTTATAAAATCTATGCTGGTGCTTTCTAAGAGGAATTCCGGTAGTAGCAGGACAGGGAATTAATCGTGCGCATGAATGGAGCTGCAGGAGCCTGGGAAGTCGCTTCCCATAAAAGCTTGGTACTACAATCCCAGCGATGCGCACCCAAGTCATCCGCACCAGTATTCTCCCAACCGAGAAGTGTCAACCGATCATCTACACAGTAAGTCATTTCTTCTTTCGTGATTTCAGTGAGGTCTTCCATTCAGTGCGGGACGATTTCATCTTAAAATATCATACAGAACGCAAATGCAACGTATGTCCCCTGAACACGGCTTTAATTATAACTTGTGTGGACCTCATGTTAACTTGGAGTTACGCTTACAGTTGAGTGGTACACACATGGTTTTCGGTCAGGAATCCAAAGACTTTGTTGTAGACTCCCGCTACACAGTTGTCATGGTGAAACATGTCACTAAAAATCAGTAAGCTGTTCACTGCTGGGCAGTTCCAGTCGCTAATTCGTGTTCGGTTTTTATTGCATTTGTGGCTATCCAGAGCTGGGAGTACTCACATGGACACAAATTGAAACAGATCAGTTTGAGAATAACAAATTCTTGAACAAAATCAAGACTGTTCGTGGTTACAACTACGAGGTAAATCAGCTACTTCATCGTTTGACTCTTGCACACAATCCACGCTGACCACAAAATAATGTTGCGATGCCAATTCATGAAGCTGCTACACATCGTTTACTAATCCAAAATCTTGTATACTCCCGACGTAAATTTCTAAGTTGCGCCCGAACGCCATGCGATCACAGGAAGTTTTGACTGTCGCCCCTGAGAACCTTCAAAACTTCGAAGAGAACACGAGGAGGTTTTTCATGGAGCATCTCCACGATCATGAAGAGATCCGCTTCATCCTTGACGGCGTGGGTGGGTTGCTCTTCAACCCGGCCCTACTTCACTTAACCTTACGGATAGGCGAATTCTTTCTTTGTACAAAATACATACATACATACATTATATTTATTTATTTATTTATTTATTTATGTGTATATATTTTTATTTCTTTATTTCTTTCCTTGTTTTCTCACGACTTAACAAGCAAAATGGAGGCTTTAACATGCAGGTTACGAGGACGTGAGAGATTTCGATGGAAAATGGATCCGAATTGAGATCAAGAAGGGAGACCTCATCGTGTTGCCCCCAGGAATGTACCACCGGTTCTCGCTCGACAGTAACCAATTCCTTAAGGTTATCCTCCTTGACAGAGGCTGTGATCAATAGCCATAATTTGTTAACCGACTATTTAGCGGATCTGTCTTTACTAACGGACCCAGTCTCGTTTGCTCATTTGACTGTCGTGGACTCGCTCACAGGCGCTTCTGTTGTACCAAGGCAACCCCACCCGCATCCAATTTGAGAGAAACCCCGAGACCGACCTCATGGAAGTGCGGTACGTCACCACATCATCGTCCACTGAAAAAAAATCGATTCATCCCATGCGGCCCACTAGAACTCATTCCCTCAGAAACCATTGAACCAATGACCTGCAGATGTTGACGAACACTCACGTGCGTGCAACATCTGTGTTGGTTTTCACAGGCTGGACTACGTCCAATCAGTACTGGAGGCGCAAATGCTGCATGCGGCGACGGAAGTGGAGGAAAAAGTCCTCGTCGAGGCAACTGAAGCTCTCGGCGCCATCGCAGTATGACCATGTCCAGGAAAACCATAACCGGATTACTGTTCTCGCGATTGGACCCCCCTCCGACTCAACTCTCCGGCCACACTTCGGTCATCACGGCACTGTCTAGATTCATGTGTGGATTGTCTCGCCGACGGTTCACTCCTGAACCAAGTTTAGCTGTCGTCTGTACAGTAGATTCATCTTCATGGTGTTGTCAGCTACTCGATCCTACTTGTTTTGTGTATATATATTAAGTTTTAATAGCATCGAGTTTTGCAGTCGCCGTGTGGTACAATTTTTTCTGTTAATTAGATGTGGGTCAAATATATAGTCTTAATTATTGTATAATTGAAGATCTAATTTTCTCACTTCTACGCAAAGTCCAAGCCGGGGTGTAAAAAAAAAACGAGAATATGGGTTGGAAAATGGGTTGGGAATTGAACCTCTAAGAACGAAAAACGGGGTGCAAGCTTTTCAAAAAAGAATATACACTCTCTTGTGAACAGGAAACAAGATTTTCAATAGAAGGATGAGTTGATAGAAAAAAACCGAGTTCAAAAAAGACTACAAGCTCAATACTGTGCACTCCAGACTTAAGAAAACTTGTTCATTTGATCTGGCTCTCCCTCTTATTATTTCCCTTAATTCACACAACACAAGAAAATTTTAATCAAAAGGATAAAATTCAGGTTAAATATATATAACTGTTCCAAGCGTCACAACCATGGGGGAGTAGCTCAAATGGTAGAGCATCTATTCCCAAATATGTTTGATCCGAATTTTACGATACAAATGAGACTACAATTTTACAATTACATTCACACTCTAAGTTGAGTCGGTGCACAAAGTCAGCGAATGTGGAAGGATACCGACATGTTCACCGACAGAAGGATGCGTGACGAGGGTGGACACAAAACCAGATCGCACATCATCTTCAGGTTGCAGAAATTCAACACAATTTGCAAGCAAAGTCTGCGTCAGTGAAACTGAAAGAACACAGTCGGTAAATCACAAAGAATATAGACATGGGTACCGACTGAAGGGTGCATGAGGAACTTACACACAAAACCAGATCACACATCATCTTCAAGTTACAGAGATCCAACAACATGTGCACGCAAAGTTTGCGTCGTCGAAACTGGAAGAAATACATCGAAACAGTTACGATACAGCATGGTTTTCTTTACAGTACGAAGGAACGATTTCCCGTTGATTACTCTAAGATTTGGACTGTGCTTCGTTCGTTGTAACGAGAGCAGCCCCTCCTACCTGATGGTTTGGATCACGAAGACCCTAGTGCCACCCACAGACGTAGTCCAAGAAAGCTACCAAGGCGATGGAGAGAGGGTAGAGAGCCAAGCCAATGAAGGCCATCCATAGCGGTAATGTGGTGCGGAAAGCTGCCACGGAACCCATGATCAAAGTCGCGAAAAAGATGACTGAAACCTCGGCTGAGAAATCCCACAATAGGTGCCGGAAGTACACTATCGATAAGAAAATTCCAAGACACATAGTGTTGTTCATCGTCACAGCTCCATAGATCTGCGCAACCGCGGTGGAATAGAATTAGTTAACAAGTTTCTACAGCAGTCTCAGATTAAGTTAACAGCAGAGGTTTTAGCCAAATGTTTAGTGTAACTGGATGTTCGGTCATGTTTATCAGAAACTGTAGGCAACTCGTGTTTCTCCAAATGGGTTCCCCGAGTGAATCATGCATACCTGAGAGTAAGTCATGGAGATGTTTTTCTTGCGTTTCTTCTTGGCGAAGATGAGGGAAGAAATTGCCTCGCTAGAGTTTGTCGCCAAAGGAGTGGCTATGAAGGAGATGAAGAAGGGCGAGATACCAGACGCTCTCGAAAAGCCATCGATTGCGTCTACTAAGGGGTCTGCAAAAATGGCTGCAAGCGCGGCTCCAGCAATCAGGAAGCAAATAGCTTTTGTTATAGTCTGTTTCCTAGAGGGAGCACCTCCTTTCCCTTCCTCGTCATCGTCGTCGTCGTCGTCGTTGGCCTCGTCCTCCAAAGTAGTATAATGCATCTTCGCATTCTGCAACGTGTTGAAAACGCTTCAGTCGGATGCAAGTAAAGCTGAAAATCACCAAAACTCTACAACTCGACTTTCTCTACTTCAATGTAACTTTGTCATCACAAGGTGGCAACTCAAATATCGTACGTTCTCTTCAATTCTAAATATCCTTACTTCTCCCATGATAGACATAGCAGAACATCACCAAAGCGAGTGGCGCACAAATTGTTGGTGAAAACCCAGGATATTCATTTATTGGGTGTAATTAAACCTCACCTGAGCCTCAAAGTCCCAATTCTCGTGATCAGGCTCGGGAGAGGAGCCATCTGAACTGGAGACCGCCCTTCTTTTGGGCTTGCGTGAGGAAGAATTCTTCATCCATCTTCGGATGGCCCGAAGGAATTCGGCTTCGGTAATCTTCTCATCATTGTCAACGTCGAACTCTGACATCCAGTGCTCAAGATCTTCTTCGTCGGGGACTTGTCCGTTGTGGCGCTTAAGTCCTAAGCCCACCATCAAACTCTTCAGCTCTGCCCTCGTGAGAAGGCCATCGCCATCGTCAAAATGTCCAAACAACCTATCAAAACATCAAGCGTCAAGTGTGCAAATGAACTTGTCCAATACTATCATGAAAAGCCCAATGCATCCCTTCTATTCGAGAGAGACTAGGTTCACGAAGAGGATCAGGTCCGATGTTGAGTTTACTGATGCCTCTAAAGAAATCAGTTGACAGACTCTTACAGAGCTGCATCTACAGACTTACTTTTTCAGCACCTCCTCGTTGGGTTCATGATTAGAATTATAAAGACTGCCCCACTGCTTGCTTTGTGTCATCTGGGCAGCTTTGTTGAGAGTAAGGATTTTGTAGTATCTGTGCCTCGCCCTCTTGATTCTCTTCTCTTGCACCCAAGGGACCATAAGCTGCATCCAAATCCAAACAGCAACACATTGGTATAAACGTCGAAACAACGGGAGTGGCACACAATTGAACCGGGGACCTGGAGTTACTAACCCACCTGATAGGTTATGTAACCGCAGAGACTAAGTACCGCAACAACAGCTCCAGCTGCAACGAACATGCGTCCATCTGTGTTCAAACGGAATAGACGAGGAAACTGCGCCACGAACAAGGAGAGAAACGTGCCCATCATAATCCAAGATGCCCACTTCGTCTGTCGATCGTTGGTAACTCCAGTTTCTGCTCCGATAGTAAAACAACAGCTCAATATCAAAAAGTGCCATTTAGCAAAGTATAAACAAAAACAAACAAACAAACGAAAAACAGATTCCATTTCTGTTGTAAGGACCCTCGCAAGCAGAAAGTGAGAAACATGATCATTTCATTCTCTTTCTGACTACGACAATGAATATTATGAGAGGAGTGTGCATCGTACTGGTGAGATTGAATCCCTGTGTCAGAGTCCTGTCTTTGGCTATGAGCTGGCCGGTCGTCGGATGTGGAACAAGATCGCATCGGCCGAGAATAAGGCATGATCCCCACAGCAAAGTGAGCACCATTATTGATGACCCCGCAACCAAACCCATTCCAACGAGCACTTCATGTTGTGCTTCAGCCTGGCTCGCCCCCAATCCCGATACTACGTCCCACGAAAACCATGTAAGACTAAAGCAGAATCAATCTACAGGCTCGTTAATTTCCAAGTTTAACGTCAAAAACTGACGAGTAAGGGCCTCATCCACAGTTTGGAACCGACATGGTGAAAGTCGTGAAAGTCGAGATAATGCAAGATCGAAGAAGAGCACTTTCAATACCCTCTAACAGAACTTAAAACGATTACAAGCCTGATGGAGACTCAATAAAACAATAAAAACTAGATTAAAACTCTATCCCAATAAATGAACACACGCAAATCTACTTCGATGTGGTCAATGGACAGTTTCCGATCACACTGAAATCAGTTTCCCCTCCCAGACTCAGACATCGCTTGAGAATATCTGTATAACTCCAAAATAACTTAAAGCAAGCCTGGAAGAAGAGCGAAACAACCTAGCCATGCTCTGCTTAACAACAGCAATGCCAAACTGAATCAGAAAAGGGAGAAACCCAACACAAGCGATTCCGGAACAACAGCAACACACAGAAAAAACAAAAAACAAACACACACACACACACACTCAGAGACGCCACTCACCAATAACAAGCATTGCATCGGGAAGGGCACCCAATATAGGCAAGACGAGGCCGCCAATGATGCCGGGGCTCATGACAGCCAACAGAAGCTCACTCCCATCGGACAGCAGCTGCGCAGCTTTGAGCAGCATGAAGCCATAGATCACTAACAAGGACGCGTTACCCCCCAAGGTCGTCGAGCAGGGCAGAATCCCATACTTCTCCTCGCACTCTTTCTCCCCCCGAATTCCCCACTTCCCGAAGAAGCGTCGCAGCGCTCGCAGCGGCTGGCTGCCCTCCTCCTCTCGCTCCAGCACCGACTCTATCTTCCACTCATCGTTTCCAGCAACGGCTTCGCCGCGCACGCTATCGGATTGCACCAACAACAAGACCACTAGAATTGCAAACAAAGCCACGCTCACGCCTGCACCCAGCAATTGCCGCCCTCGCGCCGAGATGCGAAGTACCATCGTTTCTAGCCAAATTCAGCTCTGCACTTATCTCACCTTGTCAAAGGACACCGCCACTGCGAAGTCGATTCTGCGATCGAAGTAGAAGCGTGGCGAGGAGGAGGAGGAGATGTCGAGAACACTGGCTCAATCGCGTGACCGGGGTCGGCGAAATCAGCAAAACACCAGCACATGCCACCTGGTCGGTGAGACTGAGGTAGGTCGGTAACTGGTATGCCGGGCCCGCTATGATGGCGCAGGTACTAAAGCGGCCACTGTATTGTGGTGAGAAGTCCCATCCATCTTCTAGCCCCTTGTCATGTATTTGGGCCACCTCAGCTCACGAGGCACGGATTTTGGAAAATGTTAACATGCGATGTTAACATGTTCAAATATCAAAACAAAACAAAACAAACCAAAAACACAAAAAGCCTTCGGCCTTTACAATCTTTATTTTTTGGATTAGAAATTTCCAAACTCATCATTGAATGGCTAAGATAATACTTTAAAAAAAAAAAAACAAAACAAAACAAAACAAATAGAAAATAAACAATGAAGTGGTCCATGGCAAAGTTTTTTTGTTTAGCATAACATTTTACTATCTCACCCTAAGAAGGATAAACAATAATGAACACCCTCAGCTAAATAGCAAAACATTTGTTTTAGGTTAGCTTTGCTCCCACCACAATAATTCTTTAAAAAAAAAAAAAAAAAAAAAAAAAAAAGTTTACAAATACGGTAATGCTTTGAATAATGTATTTTTAAAGTTGAATCATGTAATATTAAGAATTTTTTAATTTTATTTGTAACTGTTTTAATCTTCTGCAATACATTGAGTGAATTTCAAACAAAAATAGTTTTACCATCAAATCATAAAATATTCAAGATAAGTATAAAGTCCAACATAAGTGTCTCATCATACTGATTACACTGCATGTTACTTATATTTTCAATAATATATGACTTAACACCTATACTTAAATAATTACTGTTCATAAAAAATAAACACAAAAATCCTCTTGATTTGAAGATACTTTTTTTATCACATAATAATTTGGTAGATCACAATGACTAAACATTAATATTTTTTCTTTTGGTAGTTGCATTTTTTATTAATAATATCATGTAAACTATTTATTTTGTAAAAGAATGACACAGAAGTTATGCCTTCTGAAAGTATTTGTCTAGCACTTTCATTTAATTAAATATTGTATGAAATTCAAATTGATAATCTTGAAATTATTGGGTTTATGGTGTTTCCTATGAGTTAAAAGTAATAATATTTTTCTTATGACACATTAAAATTAAATTTATTTTTAAATTTATTCTACAGATATCCATTCAACAACATTCTCAAAAAATATCACAAAAAATGCCAATAAATTAAAGATAAAAAATCAAAACATATGTCCAACAGCATTCTGTTCTTAACAACATTATCAGCTGATTATGGGTCGCAACTCAACTCCCCTTTTATCTATTAAGATGCAAATTCATATAGTCCTTTTTATAAAAGTCATTTTTTCAAAAAGTTAAAACCCATAAACATTGACCACAATGGATAGCGATGCCAGGTAGGATAATGCCCGTATGCCCGCCTTTCTTAAGACGGGCCATCGGGCAGACGGGCAGGCTCAGGAGACGACAAAATCGGGGTCTGAAATGTGTGACACTTGGCAGCGCTTGAATCGGATCCCAACTCCGCCAGAATCTTCTCTTTTTCTGCCACGTGGACAGATTTCGATGTTTCAGTTTCCGAGACAAATGATGCGCGGTCATAGGTCCTCGCTGGTGACGGGCCTTTCTCCGCCACAAATATGCGTTTTTCCCCTTTACTTTACGATGTGTGAACTTTACTGTTGTAGGGAACTTTACTTTTACTTTTACTTTGTTGAAATAGAAGGGTTTAACGATGAAATAGCAAGTTAATTGTGATAGATGAGGTTGGGATTTTACATTTGAGATTCAAACTACCAACTTATTCAAAGCCATAGTTGAGCATTTGGTTGTACATAATTTTATCCACTAGTTTAGGGTTATTTGGGAAATAAAGGAAAAAAATAATTTTTGCTTTGTAGAAACATAGGATATATTGTGATTTATAATTATTAAGAATGTTCTATATTAAATATTTCACTAATACTTATTTCATGCTAAATTGTTTATAAAATATTGTATTTTATATAAACTGGTTTGATTTATCATCTAAATGGCAAATAAGCCTTTTTCAAATGAATTAAAAGATTTTAGAATCTTAATTTTTTTAATCTTATAGAGTGGTATTTTATATGTTATAATTTATAACAGTAGTAATACATGACATATTAATTTGATTATTTATTATTGAATATATATAAAATCACCATATATTTATTATATATAATAATTATAGATTGTAAATTTAAAATTCTTAAAAATTTATAGAATTTTTTTAAAAAATAAAATTATTATAATCTTTGAGGTTAAATATTTTATTTTCATCAAATTTTATTTAGTCATATAAATTCTATAAATGTTTTATGTCACATATTTTATATGTCATATTATTAAAGACATAAATCTCAAAGAATTATAAGATGAAGATACTCATGTGTCACTTGAAAAGACTAAAAAATCACTCAAAGATGATATAATATTAAACTAGAATGGCTATTATGAAAGACAAGAAGATTAGGAAGTCTTGAAATAAGACTAAATACTAGAAAGACATTAACAAGAGTAAAGAATGCTTCAATCTTACCTCTACATATACTATCTAACTAAGAGCTACATAGTGACATTCTATAGCATCTTCAATACATGTTCAACCTGCAAGACATGTATTTTATATTGCAAGATAAATTTTCTATATGCGTGCCACATAGTTAGCCTATCCTACAACCCACCAAAATGTGCACCATGTAGCTAGCTTCTTAGCCAAGTTTTTAACCTACTAATTAACTACAATCATATGTAAAGTCAAAGTGATGTTTATAACACTTCTAAAAAGCTTTTTTATAAGATATTATCAAATTTATCTACTTTAATTTATTTCTATTCATTCATATTATCTAAGTAACTATTGGAGTAAATATGTATGTTCGTGGCATTATCTCTCTTTTTAGGAATGAAGTCAACAAAGAGCAATGATTACATGTTGATAAAGTCCAAGATGTGACAAATTGTATTTGCCACATACTTTGATCTTTGTTCTTTTTGAAGGTAGTTGATAGGTCCTCTTAGCTATCAATAATATTTTATTTCAAGGCAAGAAGACTACCCTTTTATTTAATAATTGCTAATGCCTTTATAACTTTTGTCAAACAAAACATTCATAATACCATTAAGAGTCATTTTTACTTCTAATAAAATTACCAAGTATTAGAAGTCTTTTTCAACGTTGTAATATCAAATTTGTTGTATCTTGCCATCTATTTGAAGAAGAATATGTCGTTCTTGAGGATCTTTATTTCCATCACATTGTCTTGAAGATTATGTCATCTTATCTGATAAAATATCCTTGGATAATCCATAATATCAATAGATGTTGTTAATAAAAAGTTTAGTTGTTTTTTTACCTATGATAGATTTTATTTATAGTACAAAATGTGCCATTATGATAAAATGATCTACTATGACAAATATAGAATCATAAAAATATAAGGTTGAAAGTTCCATTATAAAATCTATAGAAATAAAAGACCATGGTTGTTGTAAAATAGGTCATAGTTGAAGAAGTCTATATGATTGATGATGAAGAGTTTTTAATCTTGAACAAATATCACATGATTGTACAAAGTCTTTGATCACCCTTAATATTTGAAACCACTAAAAATCTCTTCATATCAATTCAAAGGTCTTGTTGTATCTAAAATGTCTGATTGTTGAAAAGTTGTAATGAGCTTGAAGAATATATAATATTATGCTTTGTTTTTTAGAATATATTATTTTAAAAAAAATAAAATATATTATTTTAAAATTTTGATATAAAAGTATTATGAAACTTAAAAGAATTATGCTTAATATCATAAATAAGAAGATTACAAGATATATTTAATGTAATTTTTTTGAAAAAGGTTAAATCAACAATCAATGTTTATTTCATTGCTCTAAGATAAAAATGGTTCAACTTTTAGAGAATCATTCTTTGTTGATCAAAATTTCTATTTCTTTCTTTAGTTACAAGATAAAAATATCTAAAAATAATATTTAATAAACCTTATTATTTTCTAAATTAATAAGTAATTTTGAAATCAAATCTTAAAAAAGACATGCTCCAACAAGCTTGGCAATAATTCAAAATATGTATTATCTTAAAATATTTGAGGTTCTTGTGATTTGTATATACAATGATTAAATTGGAGATGCCTTCTAGATAATGATGTTATTCTTAAAATGAATCCATGATTGAAAAAAAAAATGTTGTGAATCTTATCGTTAATCTTTGCTTCTGAAAAAAAATTGGAATAAAAAGCTACTAAGTAGAGCTTGTTATATGCTTCCATTTATGATAATGTTATACTTAAAGCAAAGTTTGATGAATTTATCTTTATATAGAATTCCTTGAAAAAATCGACATAATACATGATTGGTGCAAAAATAAATGTTTTCTTAAAAGCTTCAAATGATGTTTTGGCTTCTTTGCTACACTCAAGTTTTTTTTTAGATGTGAGACATGTAAAAGAAGTTGCAACTTGAAAAAAGTTCTTTATGAAGATACAATAATAATTTTCAAATGTCAAAAAATATTGCATGTTTTTAATTGTTTTTGAAATCTTTTAACCCTTAATAATTTAGACCTTCATAAGATCCATCATAAACCATCATTTGAAATGATGTACCTTAAAAAGTCAACTTGAGTAGTATAAAATATATACTTTTTAATCTTTGTGTGTAATCTTGGATCTCTCAATTTTTGTAATATATGACAAGCATGAAGTTCATACTCTTGTATATTCTTAGACAATAAAATCATCAAGAAACTAGCAAAAGACATCATTCATTAGATATTTAAAAAGTAATTGATATATTTTTCAGTCCGAAAAGCATGACAATATATTCAAAATATCCATACATAGTTTAAAATGTAGTCTTCTATTTATCTCTTTCTTTGATGGGTACTAGATTATATACACCTCATAGATTTATTTTTGTATAGATCTTTGCTTCTTTAAGTTGATCAAGAAAT